ACTTTGGATCAGCCTTGGTTCCTATCTCAGACTTTCCACTTTCTGTATGGGTGGCAATGGACAAGTTACTTAAACTCTGCGATCCTGTTTCTTTAGGTATAAAAGAAGTTAATGCTACTTTCTTTGTCAGGTTGTAGTGAAACATAGAGACAATAATCTGAAACTCAGTACTAAAACCATCTATTAAATTCCTGGCACATAAAAGACATTTAGCAAATGGAATTATTAATGAAAAATCTTTCTACTGAAGTGATTCCATTAAAAATTCACTCCCATGGGTTAATGAGCTACTCACTTAAACAGTCATTTCCAGCCAAAGTTGTAAAATACATAATTTGCCTTATCTATATTTAGACCCCACCAGTTATACCCTTCTGTCCTTAGATTGGTATTTGGTTAGAAATAGATATCAGACAATGCTTGGGAAAATGAGAACAAAGGAAAGTTCCCATCGTTTTTGTTTTGTTTTCCAAGACAGGGTTTCTCTGTGTAACAGTCATGGCTGGCTTGGAACTCACTCTGTAGATGAGGCTGGCCTTGAACTCACAGAGATCTACCTGCCTCTGTCTTCTGAGTGCTGGGATTAAAGGCGTGCACCACCACCGCCCAGATAAAAATTCCCATCACTTAGTCTAGATGTGCGACTTTAGCATTTGGGTGATAAATGTGACACATTTAAGAACTTACTTTTCCAGAATATGGAGCTGGATTCAGAGACATAAATTCCCCTGATGTTATGATAGAGTTAGTGCATTATCATTTCATAGGCACTCTTCAAATCTGACTTAAAAATATGTGTGTGTGTCTTCCTTGCAACTCCACGCATCTCCATTTCCCTTAATCACCCATTGCTTTCTCAGACATTACCACACAAACATGAGGAGTGACTTGTTAAGAAAATTTGCAAGATAAACCATAGTCATGTGGCACAGCAGCAGCTACAAATTTGAAAGGTGTTTTGTGGGAAAAGAACGTTAAGTTACAAAAAAGGGTCACAGATGAACTCTGCAGTATTTCATTCTGTGTAGAAATTTCGTTACATTTACCTACGATCAGATAAACATGGAATAACTTTCCTTGATTTCTAAAATTGATTTATGTATTTCCATGTGCACCACGAGTGTGATCTCCTGCCCCTGGAGGCCAGAAGAGGACACTGTCCTCAGATCCCCAGAATGCAAATTGCAAGCAGCAGTGAGCCACTTTGTGGGTGCTGGGAATTGAATCTGGGTCATCTGCAAGAGCAACATATGCTCTGAATTACCGAGCGAGTCATCTCTCTAGCCCCACTTCCTTTCATCTTTACTGAGAACATGTTGCCACCTAGACTGTCATCTCATCATTGCCATCACCAGCATTGGTCCCTCTATTGAGGACTCATGTGTGAAGAAAAAGAAGTGCCTGTGTGTGCCAGGTATGGCAAAGACTGTTAATCTCAGCAGAGGAAAGGAGATGGGAGGACCTCTGTGAATTCAAGACCATCCTGGTCTACATAATAAGTTCTAGGTCAGTCAGGGAGACATAATGAGACCCTTTTCTCTCTAATGAAACCTAGAACCTATCCATTAGTTTTGGAGCATGAGATATACAAATTCAGGTCAAACTTTTCAGAATCATTCTCAACAAGACAAATGAGGCCTATTCATAGGCCTTATACCACATACAGTTTTCACTTATTCCTTGATTTTTTCCATTAAAATTTCTATTATTTCATTTTGTTATGTCTTTTCTTACACTATCCAAATATCTGCAACAATAAATCCATTTTAAATATTGTAATTGGTGTGAGAGTTGAATTTAGACTTGAGAATTCCACCTCTTTAGGCCCTAGCACTATCTTTTTTTTTTTTTCCCGAGACAGGGTTTCTCTGTGGCTTTGGAGGCTGTGCTGGAACTAGCTCTTATAGACCAGGCTGGTCTTGAACTTACAGAAATCTGTCTGCCTCTGCTTTCTGAGTGCTGGGATTAAAGGCATGCGCCACCAACACCCGGCCAACTTTTGGTATTTAACAGCTGTCTTGCCTACTGCCTTCCCACGAGTCTATATAGGCACTTTTGTTTGTGGCCTGTGATTTAGGCACACTGAGATGCAGGATAAAATTTCATTGGGGCTTAAACACTCATGCAAACTTTGCCTATATTACCCCACTACATCCTTTATCTCAATAATCCTCTAGCATGGGCAAGTTCTGTATTCTTCGGACTTTTGACTTCTTGCTAGTGCTTTCATTCAAAAGATCCTTCTTTTTGAAAGATATATCGCTAAATATGACTCCCATTCTATTTACAGTCACTAACAGCTATAGTTTTACCAGCTGTTATTGGGCCAGTGAGAATCAAGAGTGGTAAGAAGCCATAGTAGGCTGATTTGATTAAATAGAAAAACTAATCAGACACAACAGCTCCATTAGCCTCTGAATCAAGCAAAGCATTTATCAAAACCAATACTACCCTTCAAAATATGTAAAAGTAGTCAACAATTAAAACTCCATTAAGATCATTGATTTGGGCAAGAATCATCAAAGTGAATGAACACATAGGGAGATGCAGAGTTCATATTTACTTAGTGTAAAAGTATCACCCTTATGGATTACTTCCTATCTGAAAATGGAAAAGGGCTAACTTTTCAATAGAACAATCTGATAGTCATCATTACAGCTAAGTCATCCATTAACCCAGTGACCCATTCACTGAGGTGGAAGCCAACCCCATATTGCATGCTTCTCAGTGTAATGCAATGTCCAATATACATAGCACCATGTGTGAATTAATTACACCCACGGAAAACAACTAAGCTGAATTCCTTAAGCTTTAGCTCTAACTTCAAGATTTTAAAAATATAAAGACCAGAGGAGCAGGCACCATAGCACCATAAGGAAAATCAGGTAACTCTAATAGTTTATTTCATTTATATATTTTTAAATTCTTCTTTTCTTTTATGCATAAGAGTGTTTTTCCTGCATGTATATATGTTCACCATGTGCATGTCTGGTGCCTGGAGAGACCAGAAGGGGTATCAGGTATCCTGGAATTGGAGTTATGGATCGTTGTGACTAATGAACCCAGATTCTCTACAAGGACAACAAGGGTTCTTTATGCTGAGTGGTCTCTCTAGCCCTTAGATGATTTATTTTACTGGACAGTATTTCTAATCCCTTGAAGAATCCAAAAATCATAGAAAGAAAATAACTGCATATTCTATAGTATAAGGTATTAATAGGTATATAACAAGCAAGCACGTTTTGGAACCGATGAGGAAATTAAAATATAAACTGTATATAAAATTATATTATGGGGCTTCCTGTAATTTGGAGAATAGTCATGGCATTTTAATCATGAGACTAGGACACTTCCACTATTAGGAACCACACATCAGGATACCCAGAACTTTCAAATGTCTCAGTCTAAATATTACAAGCATGCGAATACATACACAATGTTTGATTTTAACAAAAATATAGGACTCGATTTCAGATACACAAGTTTTCAATGTAAGCAGAGAAATGATAATTCATAGAAATAGAAATGGTTGGCATGCGGTTTGAGTTAAGTGTTTGTGAGTGTAAATATAGGTGACAACTGGTGCAGCGTTTCAGCTGGCAACATGACCCCAGAACCAATGCTAAGCCAAGTCTTCCGGGACTGTGGATCTCCCTAACCTGCCCGTGTGCCCACAGTGTCCAGCTCCACTTCTGCATGTTTCCACAGCGTTGTGTTCCATTTCAGTATTTTGTATTAATTACTTTTTCTCCAAGTGGAGACCTTCAACAGGGCAAGAGTACCAGTCTCCCATTCATTTTTAAGTTCTAGTACAGTTCTGGCACGTCTTGGCATTTAAAATTGAATTTCTGCTCGTTCCTGTCCTGAGATTTGAATTCTCATTCATTTTAAAGATTTATTTACTTATGTATTTATTTGTATGCACGTGTGCCTATGCGAGTTCATGTGAATCGTGTGTGTGTGTGTGTGTGTGTGTGTGTGTGTGTGTGTGTGTATGTAGGTACCCTCAAAGGCCAGAGGGTGTTGGAGCTCCTAGAACTCTTGTTATGGGCAATTGTGAGGCACCCGATGTGGATGCTGGCAACTCAGTCTGGTGCTCTGCAATAGCAGTAAGTACTCCTAACTACTGAGGCATTTCTTCAACTCCTTGGATCCCAAATCTTATTCTTTCCCAATAACTGGGGCCTAGTTATCCAACAGCACTGTTTAGCTGGAAGCAGGTCATTGTGGCTCACACCTTTAATCCCAGCACTCAGAAGGCAGAGCCGGGAGGATTTCTGTGAGTTCAAAGCCAGCCTGGTCTACAAAGAAAGTTCCAGGACAGCCAGGGTTGTTACACAGAGAAACCCTGACTCTGGGGTGGGGGGGACTGTTTAGCTGCTGATAAGTCTGCCTTAATCTTCCATGATTATTTGCTTTGTAAACTCAGTGTCACTATTCTTTTTTTATTCCATCAAACTGCTGAAGTTTCCAATGGAAAAAATTTAACTATCTGAGATGTGCATTGAATGGCAGTTCAGTGACACCTTAGCCCTCAAAGGCCATTATCTGAATGGTAGTTAACCATGAAAAGAGTGATTCGACTGAGTTGTGTCTACAGAGACTGTGATGTAGGCCATCATTTATCGTCATTGTCACTCAACTCTAATTGTCAGCATTCTCCTTCTGCACAAATCCCAGAGAGGCTATCAAATGCAAGTCTAGCTTCGGTTTTGTCTTTAACTACTTCTGGCCTCATGGACTTCTCTTTGATACAGAGGGGAATTTATTTTAGACCTTCTCATCAAATGCAGAAATGAGTAGGTCTAAGTAAATCGAAAGTAGACTTTATTTAGTAATCAGGCTGCTTTTGTGTACATGAATTTAAAACTACTGTTAAAACTAGAGGCCAGTTACCTTCCAATCTACCACTCTTCCAGAAGCATTACAATATAAGCATTTTTATTGCCTGGCTATTGCATTTTTGAAAGCATCATTAACATGTCTTCTACGTGGACTAAATGAGGTCCCATAAAGACCTACACATTTCAGGAAATCTCTGAAAGGCAATCTCATACTCATTCTAATGACTAATAAAGGGCAATAACTATTTCATGGCGTTTGAAATGTGAATATTTGGAATGTTTTTTCCAGGACAGGAAAAGATTTTGGGGAGCTTAATCATCCTCAGACTTACACAAAGAAAGTGTATTATTGTTCTTCACCTCACTGCTCTCTGTGGATAATTGTTAATGGCATTTGCTGCCAAATGATGCTGCAGTTGGCCACGCTGTAGTCAGTATGCTCCAGACTTTTCAATGCCTGCCATTCTAGACTTTAAAGGCAGCACCCAGCATAAATGATCAATCCCGTAACCTGTCAAGCCAGTCCTTTCTGTCTCCCTTCATCAATATACTCCAATGTCATATTCAACCAAGGTCTTTGGAAGGCATTTAGCTAACCATAGAAATTGTCACTACAGCTGTATTTTTTACTGTAATGAAAGCCCCATGTTAAATTTAGTATTAAATTGATTTTACTTCTCATCTCCTTCTAACAGGTATACCATTATCAAACATAGAGAAGCAACCAATATGTATTTGTGACTGGAAAAAGAATCATAAGACAATTTATATGAAATACAAGTTACCATAGCATATGCTGTTAAGTACTTAATTTAGCCCTCATGCATATTATTATAAAGTAAGCAGTATAATTATTATCAATTTATGAATGAGAAAATACAGGATCAGAAAACTGACTTGTGGGCTGAGATGTATAGACTGTAGTGTGGTAAAGCAATCATTTAACATGTATGAGGCCATGGATTCAATCCTAACCCAAAGAGATGGGGGTGGGGTGGGGTGGGGATATGGCTGGGGGCA